CTGAAAAAGCAAAAAAGCCAAGTGTGGTAGAGATGAAATTTACCCTTAAAGTAGCAATAAATGTGTTTGTCAGCTTCTGCTTATGCATCCTATGTATGTTGACATTTTGACAGTATCAGACAAACTATACAATAATCTACCTGCTCCCCACCCAAGCCACAGATAAGCAAGTTATTATTGCACATTGTCAGAAGGTACATTCTCCATAGTAACTGCCCCAAAGGCTAGCACTGCTATCCTACCTGCAAACCTTGCTTGTTTCATTACTAATTTGAAATACTCATTTGAAATACATAATGTTTTCATTGTTTTTAGAATGGGACCATGCCCTTTGAGTTACAGGCTAGAGGCACAGCTATGAAGAGGTAAATTGCACAGCTCAAGACCACTGCAGAGGTTCCCATACAAACAGAGATGAAAGTGGCATCCAATAGTTCTAGACTGACCAGAACTCTTTAATAGTATTTGCTCAAGTGTGTCAGTGAACAGATTTCATTGCATTCTCAGACCAAAAATACAATACCTCCTAAAGACAAATGAAGTATACAGATTTGTATGCTTTTGGTCTCTTCATTGCATCATTTATCCAGCCTAGAAGCAAAAATTAATATTGCTTTCTTCCACAAGCCAAGAATAAAAATGTTCCCACTACTCTTCAGTGAGCAAATCTGACTTATGCCATACTTGAGTCTCAGTAAGTGCTATCCTGTTTACCTTTTTCATGGTAGCTGCACAGCAAGCGAAACTCTTGCAGTTATTTGCAAGAGCTCTTAAATCCCCTCACTGGCAAGCACGCCTCAGTACCTTCTCATTTCACAGACACAATCCCCATGCTTTTTGCTCTAGGATACATTAAAATGGCATATAAATGGCATTTTACAATGCCATGGAATAATAGCACTGGGCATGCATTTCCCCCTCTCTACTTCCTCCTTAACTCAGTCAGGGAGATAAAACAGCAGGAAAACAGTTTCATCATAAAATCAGAATAGCAAAATCTCTAAATTTTGAACTTTTTCCATTTCTCCAAATTCCCTTAAAAAGAGAAGGAAAGAAAAAAAAAAATCTGCAAGTGCCAAGCTATTGGCAATTCTAGGCAGTGTTTTATCTATGACATCTAAGCCAAAGGCCAAGTACCCAAGAAAGGCCGTAACTTAATAGCTGTAATAGATGCAGTAATTAGTAGTTGGTTTTAATCTGCAAGTCTGAGAACAGATTTTAATATGTGAAGCTATCAAAACTTGTTAAGCCCACACAAAACATTTTGGTTTCAAAGGACTTTCCACCCTCGCCCCAGAAAATCCTTTTTTTTATTTGAAAAAGTCCTTGCCAATTCTATCGGTAACACCCTCATCTGCTACAGTGCTAAATTTTCGCTCTCTGCCACATTACCACCGCAAACCTAGAGGCCAAAACTAAAACTCAAGTTCCCAGAAATCTAGAACAATTCAATTATTGGCTGCTACACCCCTTTTTACTGTTTCCCTTCCAGAGGAGGGTTAGGTCCAACCTACATTCCTGTCGCAGTGGCTATCTAGGAGACCACCTCACCTCCAGGAAACGCACACCCAAAGCTCCAACAATTATTCTACGTGCTAAGCTGGTTTGCTCCTGCATTATCTTTCACCAGCCCCACCTCTGTTCTAATTCAGCTGCCCGCTTCCTTTCGGGGCCTATGATAAATTTGTCTGGTTTAAGAACTGGAGAAGCCAAAGTGGCCAAACAGAGCAAACCCCCCAGATACTCCAACAGACACGTGCACCTCATTATTTATCGGAGCTGTGGTATACCATTTAGTTCAATATCTTCCCTTCCACCTTTCCCCAATTTTTTCACTGCATATGAAATACTACTTCCAAAACACACATTCCTGTTGCTCTTCCCCTATATTCACATTTGCATTTAGCACCCCTGTGCTTCAGCTGGAGAAAAGCCTTATCAAAACATGTCTGAGCCACTAAGGCAAAGTAAAAACACAGTCCTTTCTCCCATCAGTTTGGTGGAGGTATTTTCAGTACCAGTAACACAACAATGTTTATATCTTATTGCTGCTTTTCGTGGCGATAGGTATGATTCAAAAAGGTATATACCACAAACTAAAATATTAGTTGACTAAGGTATACATTGAGAAAAAAGCCTTAATCTTCTCTATTGCTGATCATTACTATCTGCTGATGCAAACCAATTTCATGCAATTTACACTTTTTCTGATTACATTTGAATGGTTACACTGCAGTAACCAAGTTTTTAAATGTGCTCACTTTTTTTTTTTTTAAGTAATTGAATAGCATTAGATTCCTTTCACCATTTTTTCCCCAGCAGACACTAGTAGAATTTAAACATTTTGGGCAATGTAACAAGAAGCTAACTTTTATTTTCTGTTGTTTAATTTAAGCTTGCAGATCCCTAGGAAGAATTTGCTTTTGCAGAAGCCTTAAAGTCCCTGCCCCATAGTTGGGATGCTTCTGCATTTTAGCAATAAGAAGTTTCTTGCAAGTTGTCTATAGAGACTTGTTTCTTGAAAGCATCATCTATAGCAAACTGCTAATGCATTTTATTAGTTTCAATTAGCTGGGATAAGCATGGCCTGCACAGAATGTGGTTGTCCGAGAAGCAGTCTGACTACATTATATTCCAACACCACATCCCCATGGCTGATGCTTCCCTTCCCTGCAATTAAAAGACGTTTGCTTGTTCTAGTCTACAAATTGCACTGTCACAAAAACCAAAGACCCTCAAAACAAATAAGATCTGCACAGTACTCTCAGCACTTATAACCTCTCACAGAAAATGCATATTGGAACATCAAAAAGACACAGTTTTGAAAGGCAGAAGCATACACAGATAAAATTCTAAGCTGTATCTTCAGACATTAGAGTTCTCTTTCCAGCTCTACCACTGAGCTGCCTTCTGACACTTTCTCCTTGCAGACAGAAGTTCCTTGCTAGAAGCTGGATATCATGGCATGTAGCTGGTGAGGGGGCAGGCAGACAGAAGGAAGAAAAGCAGCTTCTAGTTTCTTTTTCACCTCCTCACAATATTACCATGTTTTAGAACATAAGTTTGTCCACAGCATCAGCATAAAGTCAAGAAGTGCCAAACTACAAGGCAGGCAGTCACTATTCTCCAGATCACTTTACCAAAACGATTAGTACAATCTTTCTCTGCGCCTATTCTGACAATGCTCTCCATGCCAGTAACTCGCAAAATGACCCAATAATAAATACTGAAAAACGTGGCAAAAGGACAGTCTCCTAAAGTTTACTTTTAATAAATACAGAAAACCTTTGTAAAGCAGCAGCCAAAAAGACCAGTTTGGGCTCCATTCCAGCTCTCTGGCATAATACTTGTTCTGTTAGCATTACAGCCAACACTTCAAAATTTGGCTGACACACCCAGGAAAGCGGCTCCCAACACTTTCTCTGTGTTTATACAAATAGCCAAGATTGAGCTTATACCAGCATTTTTAGGGTTTGTTTGTTTCAAAGCAGAGAGCCTGATTTAGGGATTTCTGCATCACAGAACTAGGGCAGGAAAAAGAATTTCTTTAATACTGACAGCTGAATTTTCTGTTGTGAAGATGGGATGAGCCCATCTGCATTTATTCTACCTTCAAAGAAAAAGTTGTGCTCCTCTACAGGTGCAGTTTCACTTAATACTTACTTATAACTAACTGTAGCATTGCCAAAAGATGCAGTTTCAATCCTTTTGCTACCCTATTCCTTGTGTACACCCTGCTTCCCTGTGTTGATTCAAGCAATTGCAGAATGAGCCAAGTTAGCTTTGCTGATCCAAAAGAAAATTAACCAAAAAGCAGACATTCCCATCCAGAGTAAATGCAACTTGAAGCCATGCACCCCCCAAAATTGCCACACTACGCACATCAGAATGCTTCATTTCTAAGGTCTTTTTAAAGGCATGGGATAAGAGATCTGGAAATGCAGCGTGTTCATCAGATCTGAGGATAATTCTGATGGGAAGGGACCTCAGGAGGTCATCTTGTCCAAAGTTCTGCTCAAAGCAGATAAATTCATCCAGGAGATGACAAGACATAACCTACTTACTATCGGGAGCTGTAAAGGTTAAGTGACCTGTTAAGGTTAAGGAGGAGGTAGATGAAGCTTAAGAAAGGCTCCGCAACACATTCACAACAAAAAAAGGGAAGGGGGGGCAGGAAAGCTTGGCTACTCAACTTTTTTTTTAAACCAATATTCACTTCCACTCAACAGGAAAACTGGATCTGCTCCAGTTTAATCAGCATGGCACCTACTAGGATCACTATATTGCCCTAGCAAGATGAAGGAAACTGAAAAAACGGCAAGGTATACAGGATCTTCTACAAAGATGCAGGAAGCACAGTAAACTTAAGACTCCTTATTCTGTTGCGAATGGCTTACAGACTTAGGTCTGCTGTAGAAATGTCACTTCTTTGGAATATTTGCCTCTAGTTAACTTAGAAAAAGCACTCATGCAAGCATCGCTATCATATCAGATACACAGATTATCCTCATTTTCTTAAATCAGTAGGATCCAGGATTTAACCACTTTGGACATAAGACTACATTGGCAGAGCATGCCAGTCACATGTACACATGCTCTTGGAGCCAGAAGCACTCCTGTTCTTTGCCTACACAGCGCATCACTCAGCAGAGCTGCTACTGACATCAGCCTTATATCTGCACCACTTACTACAGTCCTAAATATCTCTCATTTAGGAGGCAAAAAAAGACAAGAAGGCATCAATACTAACTTTTGCTAGCCAGGAGCAGATTTTTTAATTGTTTGTTTGTTTAAAAAAAAAAAAAGAAAGAAACCAGAGGATAGACTGTAAATCCTCCACACTTGAGGGAGGCAATTATTGTAGATCAAATATTCCTCCATAAACCCCATTTTTCTACAAGGCTTTGGGAACATCACACAATTTAGATATTATTGCCATAATTTCTAACACATCTACCCCAGTGATTGCTAAGTAAGTTTTACCCTGCTGTGTTACTCACTGCCTGGTGGATATCAGCCTTCACTTCTTCGCTCAGCATTCCCTCAAACACAAAGGAATCGCCAAATTTCTCTGCCTATAGAAAGAGCAAAAGATTCAATGCTATTATCAAAGGAATGTTATTCTTAAAACGCCACTCACATTTACAGCTTTATTTTATCAAGGATAAGGAAATTCCAATAGTAATTTTGAGTTGTCTTTCAAGGAAGCTATTTTGGAACAGAAGAGAAAGCATTTTATCTCTGGATGTCATTCTTCAACAGTCACTAGACAAATGGCAGCTCACAGAGCTTCTGCAAATGTTTTTACTTTTAGTAATTAAAAATACAGTTCCAATTGTCCCAACTGCTTTAAAACGCTACAGTCAATAATCGAACACTCAAGGGCATATTTCATTTCTCTTCCTTTGGGAATCACAATAAAAGACTTAAGCCTTGTCACTTACTGCACCTTCATCATCATTAGCACCATGTTTTAAAGTGCTGTTAAAACAACAACAGAAGAGTTAAAAGTAACCCAATCATCATATCTAGCATTATATAAAGCCAAAAGAAACAAACAATACAAATAATTTCAATGAATCGTAGTACACAATACCAACATAGGGTTTTTTCTCCCCTTGGTAAACTAAGTGAATTGATATACTAGGGAAGTCAAAACATGTTATCAGAATTCAACACATTTGCCCTTCTCCATTTCTTCATTTTATTACAGGCATTCAAAGACTGAAAATGATAACCATGAGCTGCTTCTGCATGCTCAGAACTCTTCAAGAAGCACAGTTTGAAAGAAGGATCCCATTCACCACGCAAATTGCAAGAAGTTTTAGCATATGACCGTAATCTTTATATATTCAGTTTCAGAAAAGAAAGAGAAGAAAAAAAATACTTAATTTCTCACTTGCCCAATCTGAAAGACCCACTCAAAGATGCAAACAGGTTTATCAAAGAGAAGAAAAAGATACTTATTTTTTTTCTCTCCTGCCCAATTTGAAAAACCCAGACAGAGGCAAACAGGTTTGTCACGTAAAGGACCCCAGACTTCAGTCTGACAGCCTCCATCAAGGGCTTTTTTTTAAGTTTGTTTAAAAATACTTTTGGTTCAACAAGATAGTTGTCCATCCGGAGATTCTTTTCTTCAGCTTTCTATTTACTTTCAGGTTTCATTTGCCACTGGAGTTCAGCCTAGTCCTTAATAAAAGAAAACCAAGAAGTAGTTTGGCTCTGTTCACCCACAGTAAGTAATGTGGGCATTATTTAAATACACAAAAAGCAGCTCAGCTGCATCCCCAAAAAAACCCTGCAGAATCAGTGCTGTTTACTCTAACTCTGTTAGAGTTTATTTTTCCAAATCCAGCGTAAGGGGGCCCCATGTGAGGGGGGGAAGGGAGAAAGTGGAAGTGGAACACCCAACTACACCAGCTGAGCCATGAAGCACTGTCTGAAACAGACTCCATCTGATGCAGTGCTACATTCAAATACCACTGCACGTGTGCTCATTCCAGCAGCTGTTTGCAACAAGTAAGCCCTGTTCAAACTCAAAATTGTTAAGCAACCTTTTTTCATAATTATTGAGTGAAGAACTTAAAACCAGAAATAGTTCCGTAGATAAAAGAAGCCCCTCATCCAACCAGAAGGATCCTGTCTTCCAATTGAGAACCAGTTTATCAAGTAAATTCAGCAAAGTGCCTCCTTTGAGACCTGATCATTACCGAGGCTTTTATTTGCCTAAAAGGCCTCTTAGGGTTTTATAAAAGTTGCGTAGGAACAGTCAACTGTCAGGAAAGAGCAGAGCCTCAAGCACAGGTAGCTTCTTTCTTGGAAGAACCTTAACATATTCTTTCTTACTCCATTGTTCCCAGTAACATGCACAAAACTATTATTATACTTGCTATTATGCCTTCTTTAGACAGCAGGGCTTTCTATTGCTCAGCTCATTAGCAAGTAGCTGTGCTGAACCAGCCTGCAGAGTCCTTGGCTATCACAGGTTTTTAAATCCCTTCTCCCTGTTCCTCTAAAGTAAGGAGAATCTAACAACATAGCTGTACTAGTACAAAGATGTCCTAGGACCCAAAGGTCAAAAAAAGCCCAACACCACCAACCCCAAAAAATCCTGCATAGACATCTTCAGCCACCTGTTAGCTTCACCCCGGCTGCCTCGGTCATACTGCAGGGAAGATATCAGTTCAGGCATCAAGACACTTACTAAATGTAACACTATACATCTAAATGCCCTGACAGACCCCTGGACAGCAAGGCAAGCCAATTTTCTCTCTACACTACATACATCAGAAACATTCCAGTATGCAAATCCCAAGCAAGTATTCATACTTCAAAAAAGAAAAGCCTGAGTTTTTAATGGGGATTTTGCCAACACAAAGAAAGATGGCAGGAGACTGTATACCTTTCTGCCTTACCTCAGTAACGTACCCAGTAGAATTCACAAATCTCTCAAACTCCTCATTGCTGACCTCATACTGATCCATGTAGAAACTGTTAACGTGGACTCTTCTAGCAGGCCATTCTCCATCTTGCTGTATTTCAGGCTCATCAGTGCCCATTGTGAACGCTCCTCCTGGAATAGCGACCATCTGCAGAGAAAACACCACCCAAGAGATTATGAAAATGAAAGACTGAAAAAGTCCTATTGCTCTTACTCCTCCTCCACCTCATCTTTGGAGGTACTTTTGCTTTTAGCAGCATTTCACAGACAAAAGCAGTACAACAAAATGGCAACAGTGGCATCTTGATCACCACCTGTTTGGAAGAAATAGCAAGCAGAACTTAAATTGAGAACAAACCCCCCATTTTTAGCTCTTTCTACATGAAGTCTGGGTAATTCAGAACTTTTACTGGGGGTAATGCCTGTGCTCTAATGAGGAGAGACATGTTCCCTTACTGAACCTAAGAGCCAAGAAACAGTCCAGAGTCCTTTCTATTCATTTTCAGATGAGGAATTTTGGTATTTCACTATTTCTAGGAAGGCTTGATGCATCAATGAAGAATCTGGAGATTATGAAACTGTAAAGTGCTCTTCTGTAGACAAGCCTATGCTTCTTTGCATACTAACTACACGTGGTTTTTCATTTAATAACAGGCACGTGCAGCATTTTATTACCAACCATGCTGCTAACTGGCAGGTAGACACAGCACCTGCAGCTCTGCGGGCCAAAGACGAGACAAACTTTCAAGTCAGTTATATTCCACTCCTCTGGAAGACTGGCCTTGGGCAAGAGCCTCAAGCTTCAGAAATGAAGGATGAGTGACAGAACAACATTTTAACTATTTCAATAAAATGCTTTCCCTTTAAGGCCTCAGCCAGTTTCCAGAGAAATAAAAGACATTTTCCCCTCAGATTTTGTGGGCTCTTTCCAGGAAGACAAAGGTTCCAGAGGTCTTGTCATGCCTCATCAGATGCTTCCTGAGAGCCCTCTAAAGACCACAGACTGAGCAATGCACTCCTCACCCAAGAAGCAGTTCACCCAAAAAACAAGAGCACCCATGATCCCTGCTCAGAAGCCTGTGCTGGAATGAAGAATGACAGCTCAGGATGCATAAAATCTTCCCAATGGGCAGGTGATGTTTCAAGGGCTGACGCTACCCAAGAGCTCGCTTGCCAAGAAGTTACCCAACCCATCATCAACAGATGAAAGAATTGGGGAAGAAAACCCCTTCTCCTTTCTTTTCGGTATTCCTGAGCTACCTTCACCCCCTAACTCACATTGAATTCAGCCACCTCACTCATCCTCTGGCAACGGTCAGAAGTTTGTGAGTGGGTGAGCCCCAAAAAAGCCAGCCAGCACTGACATAGGCATCCACTGTGGAAATAATCTGGCATATCACATTGCTCCTGAACGTACCTTGGCAGTGATCTGTGATCACACACTACTCTTACAAGGAATTCAAGCAGGCAGACCAGTGACAGAACCTACGATGAACAAAGCCAGTTCTAAGCCAGCATTTTTTTTTTTTTTTTGCAAGATCCTGATGTTCGGTATGCAGGAAATTCAAGTCCAATAACAGAAATATTCACTGAGAGAGAAGTTTCCAGAGTAGCACGCTTCTAACACTACTCCAGAAGTGCAGTTTAAGTTCTGACAGAAAAAGAAGCCTGGCTTTTAAATGTATGAGAGTTCAAACAAAATTCCATACACATTTAGTGGAATAACACAATAGCAACATGTACATTAAAAGTAGCCAAACTGTAAAGACAAGATTGTAAAAAATGTGAACTGATGTGACATTATTCAGATGAAGAGGGAGGTTCACAGAACCAAAGATGGACTTCGTACATATAGCCGTTTTGCAGCACGGCCTAGATTATAGGACCTTGATGCTTCTATAGTTGAAATTTCTTGGGTTTTTTCTTACTTCACAAGATTCTCTTCATAAAGTTCAATGCTTCACCAAAACAGTTTATCTGGATGCCCACACTGACTCACAAACCAGGAAGACAAAAAGAATAATTAGTTACATTCCAACTTCTGGAGTTTACTGTTATTTATGTTCATATCAGCTCTCTAGCACCTCTCCCTATTCTTAAGAGAATTTGGAGTATTTGACATAACCCTACATAGCCAATTTCATTGTTTCTTCTCCACTATAGATCTCTCCTTTTGCTTGGGTCTCTCCCAGCGACACTTAAAATTCACACAACTTGCAAAAGGCCTGTAAGAAGTGCTACAAATACTTTTTCCTTTGAACTAATCACATTTGAAGCTAGCTGCATCCTCATAACTTTTTCTCCACTAAAAAGAATCTGAGCACTTACAGATTGCCTTTAACTGAATCCATAAAAGGGCTTCAGGATAAATTTGCTTACATTTTTTAGGACTTAGGGAATGACAATGTGGTACGAAGCTGCACCACTTCCTTCCTTCCAATCTCTTTCCAACCCACTGTAGCTAAAACAACTCCTTGAAGCAGTCTTCAAAGCAAGATTCAGAGCTCACTAGTGAGCTGCTGTCTAAAAGCATGTGAAAAATTAACTCTTGCTTTGCAGCCTAGATTCATTTCCAAAACCTAAAAAATCTCAAGATTGCCAGTGTATGTTCCGCTAGGAATGTCCAAAGGCTTCCTTATGAACCTTCGGCTTTTGCAGCCCTCTCACACAGTTACAACTGAGACTTCTGGCATGTCAACCAGTGTCATGTCCAACACTGATACCAAATATTGATTCCACAGGGTTATCCTCCCCCACCAAGGCTCATTTCACAGCTCCACCTCCTGTTTGGAAATAGAACCTGCCTTTGACAGCCAGCTTTATGATAACACCACATCATAGGCTGCAAGGCTCAGACATCTGACAGCGCTCTTCAGCTGAGAACGGCGGAATACAACACTAAGTAAAGAACAGATTTTCTGCATAGACATCACATCCAGAAACCGCATTTGTATAGTTAATTAAGCAGCTTTAACATCCAGTTTTAAAATACCAGTAGCTAAAACTGAGGAAGTAATCTCTAATAAATATCAAAGTTGAACTATGGAGGTAGAAATCCAACAGCAGAGGCTGACAGATACATCATTTACTATATTAGGTAGAGTGTGCAACAAAAATTGCCTGCATCTTCACAGTATTACTTAGCTAGCACATGCAGCCCAACCTCAACAACAGGGACCACGTTTGCCTATGATAATACTTGTGTTGAAAGTATTATGGTAATGTAGAGCAGACCCACTAAAGTACTAGCTCCCCATTTCTAAAGACGTAGCAGAAATAATTCATCTCAGTTGTGGTTGAGGTAGAAGCCAATTTTTCCCCTCACTTCCCTTCTGGTAAAAATGTTTTCCAGCTAAGCATAATCAAGTTATGTTGTGACTACAGCTTAAAATCCAGCAGCAACTAGTTTTCATTATCTGCTGTTGAAGTTGCCAGCTTCCTTGCATAAAGTAAGAGTCAAATGATTTTTTTCACCCTACAGTGAGACCCACAGTGAAATGCCAAAATTTATTACATGCAATTTATATCAGTGACATAGAGCCCAAGTGCAATACAGATTATTTAATTCATACTCTTTAAATATTCTCAAATTTCTTAAGTGCAGCCTGCAGTAGTAAAGTCATAATTACCACTGTGCATCCTTCCCTTTACTTGGTAACACACTGCCTGTGTGACACAGGCTTTTTCCAAGCTGACACAGCTTCCCAGTGTTATACCACAATATACTGCCAATTAGAGAGGCAGCCCCTCACATTTTTACTATTTGCAAGCCATCTCGCACAAGAACAAGAACCAAGCCTGCTGTGATATAATTTTGTCTGCCAAAGTTTACTAGCACCTTTCATGAATTGAAACAGCAATCCCATTTCTAATGACTGAAGATACCTCATCCAGTGAGGCATTTGGTCTCCAGTGATACAAAAAGTCTCAGCATCCCTTTGCAGTAAGCACCGTCATAGCACATCAACCCATGTTAAACACTGCCTTCATCAGGAAGGCGCATTCAGCTCTGGATGGTGTCTTTCAGAAGAGCAGCAACAGCAGCAGCAATAGAAGAGAATAAGCAATTAAAGAGACTTTTGCTTGAAGAAAACCTGAAAAGATATCTAGATATAGGTACATAAATGACAGCTTTGCTGAAATACACACAAGACACCCGACATACCACTCGTCAGCATTTCAATTCCGTTGATACCAACACAGACCTAAAAGAGATGGGGGGACAGACAGACACACCAGAGCCACAGTAGTAGTGATGTTCACCAAGGAAGGGACTACACTAACAGAGCTACCGCCGCCCTGGGCTGTACGACAAAGGACGGCCACACTTACGCAAGTACTCTGGGATGTGTACGCCCAGCGTTGGCCAGCTAAAGGTGCAGGGAGGCCTGCCAAAACAAGCAGCCGAGAAAAACACCTCGAATCGGTTTGTCACGTCTCAGCTTTGCCCAGGGAGGAGCGGTCGGGGCGGACACGGGCAGGGATGCAGGCAAGGCCACCAGGACATGGGCACCGCTGCCCAGGCCGCTCTCCGTCTTCAGGAACACCCAGACGGCCCGGGAGACGCTCGGGCTCTCTGAGCTGGAAAAGCGAGACGGGACCAGCCGAGGCACCCGTGCCCGAGCAGAGGCTCTCACGAATTAGGCCCAAGAGGGCTGCGAAGCAGCTTTAGCGTGAGTTTCTACACAGCAGCCCGCGCCCCCGGGGCTCTCCGTCACCCCCCGAGCACCGCAGGAGGCCCTGCTTCGCCCAGCACCGCCGGGGAAGCCCCCCGG